CACTTTTTTGGTTACCTTTTCATTTATCTTTTTAGTTATCATTTTGTATATCTTTTTATTTATTTGTTTGCTTTTAAAGATTGAGTTTAGAGTTATAACTAAAAATTAAATTAACTATATTTAGCTTAAAAATAAATTATATATTTTAAACAATATAAAAATATATAATTAAATAAAAATAAATTTAAAAAATATATTTATTAAAAACTGAATATTTGCTTTAATAAAGTTTTTAGAATATTTATTAAATATTTTATTTTTTCTTTACTATATATATTTACTAAAATTTATATTTGTTAATTAATTTTTTTTCTAATTTATTATACTAAAGATACTAAAGATAAACAAAATAATAATATAAGTAAATAATAATTATAAATTAATTTTCAACTCTTCTCAATAATCCCTTGTACCAAAATCACAACAAATTTTTTTTTTAAAAAAACAGTAAACTATGGTAGAAAAGAAGAAAATAAGACTAGTTAAAACCATAAAACAGCATCTGTTATTTAGAGATAGTTCTCATATACTGCTGCTAACAGGCCTAGAGCTTATCACTCATCATGAAGATGGTATTTGTTATTTAGAAGTAGTTCTTATATGCTACTTGCTAACAAGTTTAGGGTTTATAACCTACTGACAAGAAAACCAGCAATATACTTGGCTCTATACATTTTATTAGCTTTGGAAAAAAATATATATTCTTTTAAGAAGAGTATAAGAGCTATACTTTATACTATTACTCACTTACTTTTTCAACAAAATTTTTATAAAAAGTGAGCAAAACAGCTTACCCCTATCAAAAGATCAGCATTGTTTACTCTATACAAATTGGGATATTACAGTAGATTGCAACTACGTGTTTTGTTTACTGACGAATAAAATGCTACTCTATATGACGAGACCTCTATCTAATAAGCCATATATGAATGTTCAAATAGTTAGAAAGAAATTTTTCATTAAGGTATAGCTTTACAGTAGAGATATACAAATATTGCATTTGGTATATAATTTTTAAGCCTAGTACAGATTATAATAGTGCCACTCAAATTGTGTTTATTTCTTTCTTCTTTTATATTTTTTCATCTTTTTTTAGTTATAATAGAATAGAGTTTAGGTTCTACTTCTTGTTTCTTTTTTTTTCTTTTTTTTTTTTGTTTTTTTTTCTTTGTTTTTCTTTTTTTTTATCTCTTTTTTCCTAAACTAGCTTTGAGCTCTTTAAATTTCTTTTGTAATTGTGGCTAGTGAGTTCTCTTCTTGAATAAAAATAAGGATTTTACTCTTTCACCCAGATCTAGGTAGAAAAAATTATGAAGAAAGAAGAATACAATCATGATCGGCTACAAAGTTTAGTTAGTAAACCCTTTTAGCAGGTATTTCTAATATAGAAGTGAGACAAACTTTTGTTTTAGCAGATCACAGATAGGTACCCATGGTAACTGGATGAGTTGTATTTTAGTTTTAAAGTATCTAATACTAGAGGTAGTAATAGCATTTGATAATATAACTACTTTATTTTTAAATAAAATATGACATGATCGCTAAATATATATATATATATATATAAGTAAATAATAATACTTTATTAAACTTGCCTATTTTTATACTATCTAATCTTTATATTTTTATTTTTTTAATTATATTACTTGTTATATTTAAAACTAATCTCTAAATTAATCAATTTGTAATTAAGATTTGCTCTATTTAACCTAATTAAATTAAATAATTAAAACTTCTGGCCCTAATTAAATTAATTAATTAAGTAATTTATATAAATATATAACCTACATATTTATATAAAATTACTTAATTAATTAATTTAATTAGAGCTAAGAGTTTTAATTACTTAATTTAATCAAGTTAAATAGATCAAATCTTAATTACAAATCAATTAATTTAGAGATTAGTTTTAAGTATAATATTAGTGATATAATTAAAAAAATAGGAGTATAAAGATTAGATAATATAGAGACAGACAAGTTTAATAAAATATTATTATTTGCTTATATTATTATTTTGCTTATTTTTAGTATAATGAATTAGAAAAAGAATTAGTTGTCAAATATAAATTTTAATAAATATATATAAATTATAGTAAAAAAAAAATAAAATGCTTAATAAATATTCTAAAAACTTTATTAAAGTAAAAACCCAGTTTTCAAATAAATATGTTTTTTAAATTTATTATTATTTAATTATATATTTTTATATTGTTTAAAATATATGATTTATCTTTAAGCAAAGTATAGTTAATTTAATTTTTAGTTATAACTCTAAACTCAATCTCTAAAAGCAAACAATAAATAAATGAAAAGTATATAAAAAGATAACTAAAAAGATGAACAAAAGAATAACTAAAGAGATAAATAAAAGAGTAACTAAAGAGATAAATTAAAGAGTAACCAAAAAGATAAATGAAAAGATAATTAAAGAGATAAATAAAAGGGTAATCAAAGAAATAAACAAAAAGATGAATGAAATAATAAATAAAAGGATAAAGAAACTACAATCTACTCCTAATTACCAGATCAAAACTTCTATTTCTAACTAAAAAAAACCTTTATTATTATATAATTATTATCTTTAAATAATTTTATTCATGTTAATAATTTATTTAGCCTATAATTAAAATAAAAGTTTTATATATAAAAAAATAAATAAATACTTATTGATAATACTTTTTAAATCATTATTTTATTTATCCTAACTATTTTATTTAGTATTAAATATAAAAATTATTTATTAGTAATTATTAAATTAGCAAAACAGGTTTATAATAAAGAATACAAATACTTTATTTTACTAATATTTGATAATAAATAAATACTTTATGTTTGTCTTTTTAGCTGCAATTTTATTTGAATAACAATATACAATATTATTATTTAATTCCAAATCTATTCTAATAACAAACTTTGAATTTTTTCTAATTCTAGTAAAACTCAAAATTCAAGCAACTAATTAATAGACAAAAACTAGTTTAACTAATATAAGTTCTTGCGAAATATATTTGCTAAACAATAATAAAGTTGGCAACAATACAAACAATGAAATTTATACTTAATCTATAAGTAGTGAACTTTATAATAATGCTAAGCCAACTAACTACAAGCAGCAAAATCTACAGCTATAAGAATACTAAAAATAACAAAATAGAAAACTTCAGTAAAGTAACTATACAAAACCATCTCCAAGTAATGAATTCATATTAGTAATAATATTAAAAATAACTTCAAACTTTAATAAAGTAATAATGTGATAGAACTACTCAAATAATAAAATCTATATTTATAAGAGTACCTAAATAATAATACCAAAAACTATAAAATAAAACCTACAATAAACTCTAAAACATTAGATTTTTAACTTAAATACTAAAAATACTAAATCTAGATCATTTTTCATATTTTACTATATAAATATAAAAATAATACTCACCTGTACAAAATATGTAAATTATATTAAAGTATAGTTTTATTAGTTGTCAAAACTATTCCATCTTTTATTATAATAAAAAAAAACTATAAGTAAATATTTACTAGGTAAATGTATAGTATTGTTTGTCCAGAGCTAAATTATTTTAATATAAATTTTAATTTAAAAATGTTATAAATATATATACAAAATTATAAACTTTGTTTAATTAACTTACCAAAAATTAGTTTAAATTGTTATAGTTTAAAATTTTTAAATATATTTTTTACAAAATACAAACTTTAATAAATTAAATAAATTTATCTAGTAATAAAATATTTAAAATTTTAAATAATAGTTTTCACTTAACAACATTCATATAAAATTGATTTTTTAAAGTTTAAATTATAATATATATAAAATACAGGCTTATTTTAAAATCAAAAAATATAAAGTATAATTTGATATATATACATATATATATAAAAGCTTAATCTAAATTATAAAAAAAAAAATTATTTTTACCTAGATAAAGTAATAAAATATATAATTTTTATTATGCCATATAATATAAACTCATATAATATCATTAATTTATTAACTCTAATCTTTAATTAACCAATCTATTGAATTTTTAGCTTATTATATTAGTCTATATTATATAATATATATCAGATAACTATAATCCAGATAAAAATAAATATAATATTACAATATCAGATAAAAATCATTATTATACTTGTAATAAATTGCTTATTGCATTGAACCTAGATAACATATGTGGCAGATTCTCAATTTTAATTAGCAAATAACCAATAATCTTCAAAATTATGGCCCATATTACATAACTGATCACTAATTTCTGGCCAGAATTAACTTTTTTACAAAAATAGAAATTTTTTAAAAAATAAGCTTACATTATAGTAAACTTGGTCCAGAAACAATTTTTACTTAATAGGAAGCTAGTATTCTCTATGGGCTGAATTGTGCTGGGATTAAATAAAAATCAAAACAGAACTGAAAACCTAATCTGAGATTAGGTAAAAACCAAACCAGAACTGAAAAAATAGATCGGGCTAGAATTAGATAAAAATTAAACCAGAACTAAAAACCTAGATTAGGCTAGAATTAGGTAAAAACTAAACTAGAAGTGAAAACCTAGATCAGGTCTGGTATAGACTCTGATCCAAAAAATTATCGACCTAGTATGATCTGTCAGCTTAGGTATGGGAAACACTATGGGTAGCTGCAATTCTATTAGCAAAATTATGAGTAATTCACCTAGTTTGCTTTTAGTTAATCAAAAATTGAGAATCTGCAATATATTTTGTATAACACCTAGGTTTAATGCTCATTGTGGACAAATAACGATACTTAACTCACCAAATTTCTAAGTGATTTAAGATGAATAAAAACAAGAATAAATTAAGAAAACAAATGAACTAAGAGAATGAAATATTTAAGTAAAGAGAAATATGTCTTGCTCAAGATCGTGATTGACAATGCCAAAGAAGGGCAACAAAATTAGCTAAAAAACAAAAGCATGCCTTATATGTGACCGAGAGCAAAAGTAGCAAAAAATAGCAATGCTAAAAAATAGAGATAAAGCTGATAAAATCAGCAATAAAAACAACAACAATTGTATTAATATTCAGCAAAGAGTAGAACAAACACAGGAAGAGATCATAGTATATATTAATCCTTTATCTGTTGCTAATATTAGTAAGTCAGAACATGATCTTTTGAAAAAATTTAGAAAAAAAATAAATGAAATCAAAGTTACTCTTTGCCCTGTATATAATAAGAGTTTATCAGGTATTGTGATTGTGATGAGAAGCTGTTGGCAGTGCAATGCTAAAAAGACAATCTTCAAAAAGTTTTTTACAAAAAACCAATATGAATCTGGAAGAAGTTTTTGAAGAACTTCAAGGACTTACTGAAGTTGAGAAGATATTAATCTCTCAAGTCTTTACTGTGATGCCAGTATACTGACTTCATGGTGGACAATATGGATACTATGCAAACATATAATTAACTTTCCTCAGAATATACAGAGATTTATTACTCATCTTCTATATTATCCTTCATACTAAATATGCTTATTGTGTGTCATTAGTCTTCAAATCAATCTGAAGCATTTAAAGACTTTCATATTTGACAATCTAAAGTCACTCATACTCTATACTTGTTAAAAGAAAATAATCAGTACTATTCAAATATAATTATTGATAAAGAGATTCTACAGTTGTTACCAAAAGATAGCTATATTAATAGCCAACTTCTACAGATTTAGAGTAATCAAAGTTTAGATAGAGTAAATGAAGATGATATAATTACATGATCTTTTCTTTCTTCAACCAACTATGAGAATGTTGTAATCAATAATGCACTTAATCGTTTGCAGACTAAAAATCTACCCATTATATAGCCAAAGATTGATAGTAATCTGATTAATGAATTTTAAACCCCTGGATACATTGCATATGCATTTTCAACTTTGTATTCAACTGGCAAAGCAAATCTTTGTGCTAAACATATCAAAGACATCAAGCTAGCAAAATATTTTAAATACTTGCTTAGATACAAAGATAAAAGATTTGCATAGCACAATCATTAAAGATACTTCACTCTTAATACACAAATACATTGGAGAGCATTACAAGAGGAAAGTATATATGTTAGACAAAATTTGAATAATAAGCAACTCACAGTTGCAGATATAAAGATAATTTCAGAAGGTAATATATATATATCTAATCGAATAATACAATTTGGAGAGGGTTTATACAGATTCTAACAGTTCTGGACAGTATGGTATTGCGAGCTATCTGATATGTTTAAGCAGATAGATTCACAAGGGTTAGTATTTTTTATATTTAGCATCACTAACCTACATTAGCCTAAACTTTATAAGCTTATAAAAGCAAGTAGGAATTCTGAGAGAGAAACTAAAACATCAGAGTAGCATTGACAAAATATAATCAACAATCCACATATTGTAATGTGGTTTTTTAATAAATGATTTGAAGTTTTTTTTGAGGATGTGCTTAAATAACAATGGGATCTAGAAGACTAATAGTACAGGTTTAAGTAGCAGTATAGAGGTAGTGTTTACTTGCATAGGATCAAAAAACAAAGAAATACACTCATAATTAACTAGAAATAAATAAAAAAAAATGAAAATATAATGAGTGATATGGTACAATATATAAATAATCTGGTAACTACTATAAATCCAAGACCTGATGTACCTATGCCAACTTGTTATCCATGCCAAAAACATAATGATGAGATTAATGATGACCTTCAAGACTATACTGATTTGATAAATAAAGTACAAAGACATACTCAATATAGCACTTCATATTGCTTATATATTAATAAAGCTGGATAACAATTCTGTAAATATTCTAAAAAGAATAGTGAAAATACCCTTTTGCATAATGATAATTAGGGCCAACCGAAGCTTGTTACTGTAAGAAATGACCCATATATAAATCTATATAATTAGCTTCAACTACAAGGATGGAGAGCCAATATAGATTTAAAGCCAGTTCTCAGCATTTATACAGCACATATGCGCGGATTTGTAGATCACTCCAAATTTTTGATACATCCCAATTTGATAGACATAGTACATCAGTTATTTGACTCCAGATCAACCAATAATATATGTGCATTTTTGAAATTGCTATTTAAATGCGAAGTGAGTTAGCTAATTAACAACCAATAAAATAAGAATAAAATTACCAGTAGATATGCTATTACACCTCCTCTAAGTGTACCCCTAAGTGCACGATATATGAAAAACCTCTCCAAGTGCACATGCTCTCTTGGTCCCAAGTAATATAACTTATAAATTTTTAATCTCTCTAAGTGCATGTTTTGCTTTTTTTTTACTATAGTCCCAAGGTGGGTACACTTAGGGGTGTAACTATAGTTTGAAAATTGTTTTCATAATTTTGAGCTAGCTGTTGAATTTAATATAAGTACCCAGTACATAATTAAAACAATATCGACGCATTAGTGTCATACTCTATATATTAAACTGACATTAAGTCTCTAGGAACTGGACTAAGATTGCGACTAGTTTAGAACAAGTATCGAACCAGACGATCGCTAACATTTCTAAAAAGTGCATATATCATGTACTATCTTATGGATACATTTTGTTTCACCAAATATCACTTCACCGATACTTATTTCAACTACACTCATTTTACCAACAAGTTCTTTTATTGACAATTATTTCACTGATAGCTTATTTCACCAACAGCTTATTTCACTGACAAGTTTTTTTAAAAACTGCACTAACCTTAACGTTAATTCTAGCCTGACCCTAATGATAATAACTAGAATTACTTTGGAGGTAAAATGACTATCGGTGAAATAATAGTGAAATAAACTTGTCGGTGAAATGAGTATAGGTGTCGATGAAGTGATATTTGGTGAAATGAAAGGAACCGCTATCTTATAGCTAGCTGTGACAATATTAATACATCATATTTTTAGTTAGTATATTAGCAAAAATCTTGAGCAAGCAATTACAACATACTTTCACTATAGTGATAGAATTCAGTATAAAGAAGTACTGTATATATAGTATTGATGTAGTTACAACAAAGATTTTTTTTTCGCCCAATAATTTCATTAGATTGTATATGCTATTACAGTATTAGATTCTTTAAATATGTGAATGGATTATGTTATAATATAAAATAAAAATTATATAATAAAATATAATATGCATATATAAATTCGTAAAAATATATTATTGATTACAAATAAATAGTTTAATTCAAAGTGGTAATATTTGGGCAATGCGAATATTTTTGGATATTATATCGCATAAAGAGACAGAATGAATATAATTGTTGCCTTTTGGCAAATGCTTCGTAAAAGAACACCTTCATGTTTTTAAATTCCAACTCCATTTTTATAGCAATAGCCAACTTAATATATTTGCCAGATCCTATCCTAGCAGATTTTTGAAGATGAATAAATGCCTTATACTTGTCTTTTTTAATTTCGATCCTAAAATCAACTATGTTCATTCTAAAAGTATAACATATCGTTATAGATTTTTGAAAATAAATAATTGCTTTATTTTTACCTTTTTTAACCATAAATCCATCTTGATAACAAGCACTAGCTTGAAATATACCACTAGAATTTCCCATATTAGCATATGTTTGATAAGAAACAAATAGCTTGTGCACATCCTTCTTAGCTTCTAGCAGACCATATTATATAGGATAACGATAAATAAATTTTCAAAAATATTATAAAATAGGGTAATGGTATCATACTATTAGCCATTCTTCTCATTCTTCTATTATTTCTGGTCCATATCAAAAGATAATTGTTCCAAGTTTCACTCTGCTTTTATTGTAGAAAAAAATATATATCATAGACATGTAAATGCAAGTTGAATAATTATGAGTACTAATTAATACGCTTTAAATGTGACAGTATCTGAACTAATAAATCTTTAGCATCTACTCTTGCAAAGTAACATGTTAAATTAATATATTTAAATTCAAATAAATAAGTATACATTGTCATGTAAGTTATGAATAATCGAGTATTATCAGGATGAGATGCTAAAAAAATTAGAATCATAGATAATGAGTAATTTTTGGTTTTCTTAGTAAAAATTACATAGTTTCATTACACAAATAGAATAATATAAAATTATTTAGTTAAGGATGGGTATATAATTAAAATAATGTAGTAACAAAATATCCAAGTATTATGCCTTTCTTGTAGCAAGGTATTAGTAATAGTTATATCTTGGGAGTTGGGTATAAGCGGAAATAAAATTTCTGCTTTTACACATAGTGCCCAGGGTATAACTGATCTATACTCTGCGATCTTAATATAGTGACCAGAATATAATTAAAGTATTAAAAGTAGTATATTAATCACGGTTAATGCTTAGAATGGCTTAAGCTGAGATTTGGGTACTCTATTTAAAACTAATAAATCTACCAAAATACTCTTATTTACCTAACACTAAGAGAAAATTTTTGTATATAATTGTAGTCAATTCCTATTTTCAGATTTAGCCTCTAAATTAATTAATAAAACACTTACATGCTAGCTTTTTTATTCATGTATATCTGAAATAATAAAAATAAAAATAATAACTCGAAATATATTAACAAATACTAAAATTTTTGGGCTTACCTGCTTACCTACAACATCACCTGCTATTAAAATAAAATAAATAAATTGAAAAACGCATGAACAAGAATAATATTTACAATCTTAGATTAAACATGAGTTGTATTATGTTTCAGTTAAAAAGAGATAGTTACCACTTACATTTTAGATAATAAAACCCTTTTTAAAAATATACTTAGATCGCCTTGATAAAGTACATATTTTTTCAGCCTTATAAAAAGTAAAGTTAATTTTTAGATCTTTGCGAGCTTATAAAATCTATGATACAGACAACCTAGTCCCAACAAATAAAATTGATAAAATTTAAATTGCTAATCCTTCTTCAAAAAAAAAATAGTAAACAAAAAAATACTATCTTAAAATGTTAAATCAAAACAAGCTAAACACTTTCAAATTCTTAAATTTTTTTTAAATCTATTTATAAAAAGTTATAGCAGGTTAAAATTATAGCATTTTTATAATTAAATATGAAATTTGGCCACCTTTTATATATATAAAAAAAAGCAAATTTGGCCTCTTTAAACAATTAATTTAATTTTATATATATTAAAAATTTAAAATTTGGCCACTTTATATATAAATATTATCAAATTAATCTTTTCATATATATAAAAAATAAAACTCAAATTTGGCTGCTAAAAATTTTTATTTGCTATGTCTAGGTTGTCCACACTATACTAATTAAAAATTAAAATAACGTATCAGTTTTTTAGTAATTTTTTAGTTACATATGATTGTTGCCAAAGGAAACTCTATAATTATATTTTGTATCAGACGCAATTCTAGTATAAAATATAATTGAAGCCTGATAACAGGTTTTCCTTTAGCAGCAATCATATATATTATAAAATATAAGCACGTGATTATAGTGCAACCATATATTAGCTTTGTATCAAAAAGATGAAAAATTTTATAATGCTAAAAATTTAGCGTTAGTGGGATGTGATAGTTATTTCAACCGGTGTTTTCGTGATCCTCCGGTATTGCAGAAACGGTACTGTTATTACCAGGTATCTTTATATAGTCCTAAAGAAAAAGAAAATTGAGTAAAAAGTATGATGAATTTAATCATTATGTTTCATTATTATTTACTTTAAAATTAAAGTTGGGATCTTCTTGTGCGAAGGGATGTTTTAAAAGTTCCTCGGCTGTTGGTCTTTCCTCCGGATCTCTATTATTTAAAGAATTTGGTTAAATACAAACGAATTGTGCATAAGACGATGGATATTCATCAGTGTTATCGAAGTGGATTGAATGACAGATTTTAACTCATCATCAAAAGATATGTTGTCACAGTTCTAATTACCTTTATATATCGCTCACGAATACCAACTGCCATTCGAAGAACAAAATTGTATATCCTTGTACAGATTCTTACATTATGAAGCATTTGTTTATAAAATCTCGAGCTTCAGCTGACATCTCAATATCATCTTTTATTGGGGGCGCTTTTTTTTCACTTCCAAGCTGAAATATAAATATTTGATGAGAAAAATGTAATGGCTAGAAATTAAAAACACTATCATAGTACCTTAAACATGGCAGCGAGATCTGTCAATGTAGACCAAGGTCGCTCATCAGTAAACATCTCAAGTACTACACAACCAAGACTCCTATAGATTAAATTTAGTAGCACATTATCCGAATTGAGTAGTTGTTTATATATTTTACTATAAAAAAAAGAAAAAGAAATTACCATATGTCTACTTTGGCACTATATCCATTAGTGAAAACCTCTGGTGCCATCCAAAATATTGTACCTTGCAATGACATATTAGAATTATTATCATAGGCAAAAGCGTGGTCTAATAATAAAAAAAAAGATTAGTTTAAGTTAAATAAATAATTTCCAATTCAACCTAAAATACACATACCACTTTTCTTTGATATTCCAAAATCAGATATTTTACAACAACCATCTTCATCTACGAGGATATTATCTGCTTTAATATCCTGTAAAAAAAAAAAATAAAATAAAAAAAAAATGTAAACACAAGTTATATCATTCAGGAGCAATATTTATTTACTGGATAAAACGACAAAAGAGAATGTATATTACCCTATGCAGTATTTTTTTATTGTGCAGGTAATGTAAGCCTTGTAAAATCTGTCGTGTGAATGATCTTATGACAGGCTCTTTAAACGGACCATTACTTCTTAGAACTGTTCCAATAGATCCACCATTAACATATTCGAGAAAAATATTAACGGTTTCATCGTTTTCCTCATATCCTGTTATGGTAGCCAAGGTGAACGGCATTAGTGTTATACTCATTCAATCTAACAGTTAACAATACAAAACATAGGGCGATAATTGAACGTATTTATACCGATATATGAGACTATGTGCTCATGATCCAAGTCCTTCAGAATTTCCATTTCGTCTTTAAAAGATTTTATCTTTACATGAATGAATATATAAGTGTCTTAAATAAGGAACCAAACTTAATGTATGTATAAATTCACAAACATACCTGAACTTTTTGACGTTCATTCCTTTTATCTGATAAAGTTTGCGGTAACTCGATTTGTTTGACCGCTATCATTTCAGATGAGCTCAAGTTCAACGCAAGATAGACTTTTCCGAAGTTACCTTTACCTATTAGTTTACCTTTCACCCAGTTAACAGCTATTATTTTTAGGTGTGGTTAAATAGATAATGCAATTTAAAAAAAAAACTTTAATAATTAGATCGTATTGAATGGTTTAAGGATTATTCTTTGAATCACACACGTTTATTTTCGTTACAATTTTCATCAGAACCGGAAAGGCAAGGTGCTTTTTTACCGGGCGGTGTTCGCTCAACAACACGTTTGTTCCATAGTTTAGTTGTTGGCTTTCTGCTTAGTCGCTTTCCCTCTTTTACTGTAGTGGCATCAACTGATTTCCGATTGGTATGTTCGCGATCTCTTGCTTCTCGAGCAGCGGCACGGATGGACTTTCCACGCGAAATTTTCGCTCCGGTTTTTTCAGGGACAGCGGATGCTGGCACTGTTTGTGGCACTGGTTCACCACTGGACGATGGATTCTGTGTAGATTCTTGAGCTTCCACAATAGGCATATCAAGATTATGATGAGGGAAATATTGCTCTAGATCTTCAAAAACATCTTCGGCAGTTGGACGCTCAATCCAGGAATCTTCAGGCTTTACACCTCTGCGCTTTGAGACATGTCGTGCAAGTCTACCAACATTAGTCCGTTTTTTAGGCTGCGATGAATGATTTGATGATTCTCCTGATTGAGAAATTATATTCTGAACTTTGTCGACCTCCTTACTATCTTGTTCGGCATTTTCAGGTAAATTATTTTGTTGTTCAATATTAGCAGAATTTTTATCTGCCGAGTTATCACTTTGTCTAAGACTACTTTGCTTAGGCTTCTGGGCCCATATTCCTTCGTCGTCATCGCTAATATTTTCATCTTTGTCAGTAAATTGACGCGAGGTATCTACAGGGCTTGTTCTGTTGGATGTACGCGAAGGATGCGTGGGTTTAGGTGCTTTAGCCCATATAGATATTTCTTCATCAAGATATGTAGAACTATTATCCGCTAATTTGGGCCAAAGTGGTTTTTCATCGATACTATCTGGAAAAATTACATCACTGTGCTGTGATCGAATATCAGATTTCCTAAGCGTAAGATCTGGTTCCGATGAAATTGTGTGTTTAGGACGCACATAAGGAGACTCTATTTCGGGCACTTCGTGAAGGCTCATAGACATAGTATTTTGTGACATTGGCAAATGGGGTTGTGATTTACTATGTTTATAGGAATACTGGTTATAAGGCCCAATTATATAAGGGGAGGATGATAAAGAGTGTGAATATTGGGATTGATTATGTGGTTGTGGAATAGTATTTGGTTTTGGAGGAATAGACATGGGTATTTGAGATATATGTTCTCTACTAGTGTGACGACGAATTTGACCATTTGCTGGTTGCAAAGTCGCTGAATATAGTGATCTTTGAAGCCTTGGTGACGTGCTACCATTCCAATTATAATCAACGCGATTTGATGAGAAA